TATTTAAGCTATTTTAAAGGTTTCTGAGAGAGTGAAGGGTACAGTGGCATGGGAGAGGAGCAATGTCACTGCCAGTGAGAGGCTGGTTCTGTGCTGCAGCAGCTGCAGGAGGACATTTGACTTATTAAAGAATATCCTCAGTGTCCTGGTCGGACCAGTTTGATTTTCCAAGCTCCCTATTCCTGGCCCTTCCAGTACTCCGAGGTCTATGGTGAAGCAGGTACCCACCTGAGTGGGTGAATGCCCAAGGAAGCTGAAGCCCTGTGGGTCCTCCTGACAGGACCTGTGGATCCATGGAGAGAGGACCCAGACTGGAGCAGTCTGACCCTGCAGCCTGTGGAAGGGCCCCATGCTGGAGCAGCTCATAAAGAACTGCAGCCCATGGGAAGGACTCATGTCAGAGATGGTCTTGGAGGACTGTCTCCCATGGAGGGACCCCACACTGGAGCAGGGGAAGAGTGTGAAGAGTCCTCACCTGAGCAGGAGGGAGTGGCAGAGATGATAATGTGTGATGGATTGTCCACAACCTCCTGTGCTGCTGGGGAGGAAGAAGTAGAGAAATTGAGAGTGAAATTGAGCATGGGAAGAAGGGAGGATTGGGGGGAAGGTGTTTAGAGATTTGGGTTTGTTTCTTATTATCCTGCTCTGATTTGGTATGCAATAAATTAAATTCATTTTCCCCAAGTCAAGTCTGTTTGGTCCATGAAGGCAACTGCTGAGTGGCCTGATCTCCACCCATGAGCTTTTCCTTATATTGCCCCTCCAGCTGAGGAGGGGAGTGATGGAGCAGCTTTGGTGGGTACCTGGCCTCCAGCCAGGGTCAACCCCTCCCCACAGCACCAGCAATCTGGTCTGTTGAGCTTGAAGAACACATCTGGGGAACAAAATCTGGGATATGAAGAGGACATGCTGTGCTTTTCCTCTGGAAAAGAGTTTTAAAAGATCCAACCCAAACTTCAGACCATTTTGTGTTCATAGTAAAAAGTAGCTCAAGTCAGTCATTAAACCTCAAAGGGATCCCTGAATTGTGCTTTTCCTAATGAATTCAATAATCGATTTTTACTAAACCAATAAGGTTGGGGATGGATCAGCTAATCAGCATTCTCAGCTAATTGCTTTTTCCAAGTGACAATTTGTACAAATGATACCATCCAAGTAGTAATAATAACCTCATTGATTAAATGAATCTCTAAGAGACAACTCAAGTAAGTTTAATTAGCAATGCATGACAGCACAATATACCCTGGAAACAATCTTGTAACCCACCTCAGACTTTGAAGTCCTGGCAACAGTCACACTGTTGGTTTTGGCATCTTCATTCCAACAGACACGACTAATTTGATGGAGCTTCTTCAGTGAATGTCTGTGACTAACCAGGAAAACCCTTGAAACCCTCCCTGCAGAGACAGGCAGCAGAAGCAGCCTTCCCACTTAGTCACACAGTCACTAGAAGCCAGTGCCACAGTTTAAAAGGATGTCACCATTTTTAGCAGAAGGAGCAGAGATGGGCAGAGAAGCCTCCGTGACAAAATCCCAACGTGGGGACACGGAGCAGCGTCCACCCTGTCCAGCTGGGGAAACTGGGCACCAAGTGTATAAAATCAGAGCAGAAACTCCTTCAGTGCAGCAAAGGGTTCAGAGAGTTGGCTCCAATCTTGTTCAGATAGAGCAGGTTATTCTTTTTGGATCTGCTCCCCAGGATGGGCAGGGGGAGCAAGACCTGCTCTCCTGATCCCTCCAGCAGGACCAAGGCCAGGTGTGAGATGTCTCCAAATGCCCCAGGATCCAGCAGCTTCACCAGCATCACCTGGGAGTGAGGAGGAGATTCCCACAAGCAGTTTGTGCTAGGGGAGCTACTAATGCAGGACCAGATTAAATGTCTGGGCCTTGTGGCTGCAAACACAGTAAGAGAGACCTGGAGCTTCTGTGATTCGATCCAAGGCACGACTGGGAATGTGGAGGAAAGCCCATTGAAAACCCCTCCATGGAAATATTGGCCTCAACTGCCTTGCTGAGCAAACACTTCTTCATTCACTGCCAAGAAAAGGGGAAACAGCCTCAAATCTGCCTCAGGAAGTGGGGGACACCAGGGACAGGGGAAGTGAACAAGCACAGCCTTCAGGAGACACTTGAGTGTGATGAACGAAAACAGAAGCATTTGGAGAACACCATGTTCCCCATGTCATGGCCAGAGCTGCCCTGCCAGCACAGCAGGAATTGGGCCTGGCAGCAACAAGCTTAATGGCATTATTATTATTTTCATTATTTAAGCAACTTAAGGGTGCTTCCCAGGTTGCACAGGAGAGCAGCAAGCCCAGGGCTACCTTGGTGAATGCATCTAAAGGGGTTTGCTTTCTTTAAAGTGGTTCAGGCAGGAACTTCTTCAGCTCACTCAATTCAGCAGCTGGAAAACACACATAGGGGCAGCATAGCTTCTTTTAGAAGCATACTAATAAAACCAGACTGTAGCATATGGACTTGGTCCTTTCTAGGTTAGAACAGCCCAACCTCCTCCATTTGTTATTTAATTTTGTTATTCAGATTCCTTGCATTTCATTTGCCATAACCCAGGTGGCTTGTGCTTTCTGCCTGAAATATTGTAATTTTTCCCTGTCCTTGTAGCCTCAATGAGTTTCAGGTCTCATTTTTGTTCTTTGTGTGGTTTTGGTAATACAAGAATCTGATGCTTAAAAAAATGCCACAAGATTCTCAGAAAGATGCTGATGAAACCAGTATCCAAAAGAAAACCACCACTTCCTGCATTTCTTTTCATCCAACAATCAGTGAACCAGACAAGGCACCACCTAATGACTTTCCCAATCACAGCCAGCCACCTATCAGGCAAAACAGCAGAAGACCCACAAAAAGGCTGAGAATTTTCTATTCAATTTGATCCTTTAATATGATTTTATTACAAACCAGTCCCACATTACTGGGAAGAGGGTATGGCTGCTGCAGACCCCAGCCATGGCAGGCTCTGAGCATCAGGGTCATCAGAAACAGACCCATCCAGCTGAGACCTGGCATCTGCTTGAACCCACCACAAGATGCTGTTTTCTTGCACATACAACCAGTCTTGGATAAACTGTTTATAAACTATTTATAACTAAAATAGCTCTAAGACCACTCTCCATAAGAGCCACCTGACCTGCAAACACAACAGCCAACATATATTGAATGGAACTGATGTGCTCTTGGTTGCTCAGTAAGACACTTGCCCAAAGACTGATCTCTGGAGCTCAGGAATCTCTGAAAATATACTTTATCCATAGTCTTACAGAGTGGATTTCCTAATTATTTTATTCTCAACACCATCAATATTTTTAAAACTTTGACCAGAACACACAGCATGTGAGTGTGCAAACAGCAGGGAAACACATGGGTTGGAAATGCAAGATTGGGAAAGTCACTTGGAGAAGAGAGGAAGTACTTTTTCTCAAAAGGATGTTTCTAAGATAGCCCTTCTTAAAATAAAAGTTCAATATCTGAAATAGAAGACAATATATGCTCATCACTTGTTCCTGAGACACCCATATCATTTTTCCAGTCAAGCAGCCAATCTTCCATGAAATCCCCAAAAAACCTAACAGATGGGTTGAATTACTAATTCTGGGAAGACTAGTTCCACAATGATAATATTCAGAAGTCCCCAAAACAAACAAATAAGGGGAGAGCCACCAGAGAAGCTTGGTTTAGAGCAGGATCTCTCTGGACCCAAGCAGTGCTGATGTGCAGGAGTTAGTGCATATTTCAAGCCTTTAATTTCCGTTCCCCTGTTTAAGTGAGATGATTGCTCCCCATAGCTAATAATAGATTTCCTAAGTTTCTTCTGATTTGCCAGCAAAGCAAAGATCCTCTGGCAAATCTATGAACTGAACAATGATTTCTCATTCTTACAACAGTAGAATCAATTCCATTTTCCACTTACAAGTCTCCAGCCTCTCCCTGTCAGCCCGTTAACATCCAAATGCTGTTCTCCAAAACAAGCCTGGAGGAATCTCTGTAGATTTTGCCATCCCAAGTTGCTTCCCAACATTGAATTCATTGCTTATGAATCACTTCACTGTGTGTAAACACTTGAATCACTAAGTCACATCTAATATTGTACACAGCAATCAAGTGATGCTGTCATGGCGGATCCTGTAATGCTGGTGCCTGCGCAGATGCAGGAGGCAGCTCTAAAAACATGGCTCTTGGTGCTGCACTGTAAAAAGCAGGTCTTATTTTTTCTCTCTGAATGCCTGTAAAATATTCCCGGGCTTTGTGTCTTCCTGAGATGCTCAGGAGAGCCCCACCAGCCCCCCTGAGGCCGTTCACATGACACACGGTGCTTTTCTCCTACCCACCCATAGCTTAGGGGAGCAGTGTGAGGTGTGACAGTGGGACCAGGGCCTCTACAGCTCACAGGTCAGTTCATCTCAGTAGCTTTTTATATCAGGTCAGACAGACAAGCACTCAGGAAAGAAAAAAGCTGCCTCACCCCTAAAAGCAAGTCATTTTCCCCCTTAAATTAAAACCACAGAATTGTTCTGGTTGGTAACAACCTGTAAGATCATAGAGTCCAACTATTAACCAAACTCTACCAAGTCTAGTGGTAAACCATGTCCCTCAGCACCACATCTACACATCTTTTTAACACCTCCAGGTGATTCAACCACCTCCCTGGGCAGCCTGTGCCAGTGTTTACTAACCCTTCCAGTGAAGAAGTTTCTTCTCACATCCAATCTAAACCTCCCCTGGCACAACTTGAGGCCATTTCCTTTTCTCCTCTCACTTTTAACAGGGGAGAAGACCCCCCCCAACACACTCCAACCTCCTTTCAGGGAGTTGTAGAGAGCAAGGTCTGTCCCCAGCCACCTTTTCTCCAGAAAGGCTGTAACACATCAACACTTGGCTCCCCTGGAGCATCCTGACAACTGCTTTTGTTAACTTCTTCAAGTGTTGCTTTGGGTTCCTTCCATACTGGTAGGTGCAATTTTTCTCATCAACGTGTCACTGACCTTGATGCCAAGCTCTATGTTCTCCCCTCCATACACATCCATTCCAGGATCCAGGAGCCCAATCTCTCCAAAGAACTTTCTGTTCACAACAAATGAGCAACCAATCATCGCCGGCGTCCTGTAGAAGAAAACCAACAGAAATGCACAATTATTGACATCTTCCAGTTTCAGTGGACTGAGGGCTGATTTCTACAAAGCCACCTCAGAGACTTTGCAGCAATGAATGAGGCCTGTGCCTTTGAAGACATTATTTTACCACTGCAATGAAATTGTCCAAAACGCAACTTCATTTCATCATCTATAGACTGGAGAAAAAGTTCTCCTAGGATTAAATTACTGAAAAGCTTTCAGGTCTTGGTTCCATCGTAAACACCTTGGTGTGTCAAAGGGCAACAGCACCATTTCTTTAGGTTTACATTCCCCACCCATGCAGGAAACAGAAAATAATAGAATCATGGAGTTGTTTTGGTTGGAAAACACCTTTAAGATCAGTAAGTCCAACCATTAACCCAGCACTGCCAAGGCCACCACTGCCCATGTCCCTCAGCACCACATCTACACAGCTTTGAAACCCCTCCAGGGATGAGGACTCCACCACTGCCCTGGGCAGCCTGGGCCAGGGCCTGACAACCCTTTCCAGGAAGAAATTTTTCCTAATACCCAGCCTAAAACTCCCCTGGTGCAACTTGAGGCCATTTCCTCTCATCCTATCACTTGTTACTTGTGAGAGAAAACCTGCACTTGTGTGGGAAACCAGCTCGCAACAACTTGCCTCTCTCCAACCTCCTTTATATGTATATATATACATGGCATTTATGGGCATGTATTTTGGCAAATGGATATATATAATAATGACATTTCCTTTCTTTTTCTTCTGGCATGCCTAGTGACAGAGTGGCCTTCAGACCAGACACTACTTTTATGGTATCTCATGAAACGAAGTTTCCAGTTGGGATCTTTATATCATGAAGTCATCACCAACAAGCTAAACTGCAAAGCTGCAGAAGCAAATCCTTTAAAAAACCCAAGACAACTCTTTACAGAAACATCTGCTGTGCCATTTGCCCACTCCCACCACTCCCAGTTCCACCACCAGCTCCAGGGGCTCTGGGTTAGAGATGAAGTTGTCATGTTCCTCCTGCAGAACCTCGTGCCTTCCAGCTCACACTGCTGCTCCACTGCACCTCTGCAAGAGCAGCCAAGCACAGTGCCCAGGCAGGGAAAATAACAGAGAAAAATGAGAGTGCTGCTAACAACACTGACATCAACAGAACAGCAGAAAGATGGAGGAACAACTCAGAGTCAGGGGTTAATTTGTAGTAACTATGCAATTTCCAGGAGGTAAGAGCTGGTGTGTTCACTAAGGGCTGCCACGTGCACACACAGCACCTCTCCCTGATTACCTTGCAAAGCTCTGCACCAGATCTCCACCTGATACAGCTACCTTGAGATGAGGATGTTGCTCTGATTGGTGCAAGCTGCTATCATGTTTGGGGCTAAGCACTTGTGACCCTCTGCATAAAATGACACTTTGCCACCGAGCAGGGCACTGAGTAAAACTGTTTCATTATGTGCCAGGGATGCACTGATCTCTGGTGGTTGTGCTATGCAGAAAGTTTACCCGCTGGGATATTTCCTGAACTAAAATAGAAATATGAAAACAGTTCCTCACTTTAACTTGCTTTCATCTGAATCCATGCTGTGGAGAGAAAAAAATTTAAAAGGATCCACCTTAGGGGGATCAGCAAGGAAGAGACAATGAATTTTACAGCTAAGCCATGCCAAGGCACTGCCAGTCTCTGCTCTTGTGGGGAGCTATGGGACCCCTCTCCTGTCCACCTTCAACTCAAAGCTCCAAGCATGGGGAAGCTCCACCATGCAGGATGGGATGAGGCTCAATCATCTCTGAAGCTCCTCACTTGGGCCAGGGGCCACTCGTCGTGTGCTGCCTGGGGAAGACTTGCAGGGTGTGACACCAATGGCAGCCCTTCTATATGGAAAACTCTTAGAAATGCCAGTTCTCCAGAGGGAATTTGATCTTGAAGTAGAAACGGGACAATGGGATCATGCATTTTAATGGCAGCCCCAAAGTCCTGGCTCAGAGCACATTTCCCAGCATGTTCAGGCACGTCTGAGGCTACAGCCTGCAGAGGAAGGATGGGCATTCTAATACTCCCAGTCATGCCTCACAGATAGCAAGGATCAGGCCCAAACAGCCTCTCCATCCACACCACACAAACTGCTGGTATCTGCCAGAAGTGCACTTGGAGACCCCAACGTGCCCCAGGCAGCTGCAGGGCTCAAGAATCCCCAGGGACCCCCCAGCTCAGCTCCCTGCACAGCAGCCAAATTCATCCTTGTGAAACCCCGACCTCCTGGGGTGAAGAGTTCCAACCCCTTCAGTATTATTATTTATAGATATTTTAACACTTTTAATAGACTGCTAGAACAGCTGCATGCTGCTGCCATATTAAATTAGTTCAGATTTGAATCCATCAGAGGGTTTTTTCCAATTATTTGTTCCCTGACATCCCTCCAATAAGTGGTGTAATGTTTCATGGTTTCCTGCCACTCTAGTACTTAGGATTTCAATTCTACTGCCTTCTTTGTAGCAAGTTAACTGCCATTAGCAGAAACAATTCTTTCTGAAATTATAACCACCTCAAGGATGTCAAATCTAATAGTTCCATTATCCTAGATTACCTCCTGGAATGAAATAGAAGGGTAAGTTGCTCAGATTTTACAGGGAAGAGAAACAACCCAGTTCATCTGCTCCATAGGGCATAGGAGTTGGGGAGCCCAGGCACCTTTGACTTCTCCAGTCAAAACCTGTGAGGTCTGCTAAAGGCACTCAGAAATCAGTTGAATCCAGAAAAAATATCCATGTGAAAGTGTCAAACAAATGAAACCACATTTCTGATCCAGTTTTCTGGATCTCTGGGAATTCACCACCAGATAAGCAAAGTCCCTGAACTGGAAGCCACTCAACAGTTGTGCACAGGAGATGTGCCCCCTCCCCCCAAAAAAAGCTTTTTTCATCATTATTTTGCCACATGACTTCACTTTCATAAGCCACAGAGTCACTGCTCTTTTCCAAAATGCTCTTGGAAGCAGCCTGATTGGGATGTAGTGACTTTCACTTTCAATTTCTCCTTCTCCTCCTCTGTTTTCAGCACACCCAAGTGTGCCAAGCAGCCCCTCAGCCCATCTGAGGACCCTCAAGCAACACAAATTCAGTGCCACATTCTTCTTTGTAACATTGCCTCCATATCTCATAAATGAGGAACCAAGCAGTGCTCAACAATGTAAATAGAAACACCACTTGATTTTGTAGTAAATCCTTCAGAAAGGTGGGTGTTTACAGTAACAGCCCATCCACAATGAAATCATAGCCTGCAGATAAAGAGCTGATAAAGCCTCTTGTTCCCCTGCCCCTTAATTAAATGCATTAACAGTTAGTTTTTAAAAATCACAGGGCTCAGCTCAGCTAGATGCATTTCTGTTTGTCCCCATAGCTGTGCTTTCTTTAATGAGAAAAGGAAAGCAGGATTTGGCAGAAAAGGATGGACAGAGATGTGCAGTAGAATTACTGGGTTTGTATCTAGGAATCCACCCTGTTAGTTCCTTGCCATTATTTGGGTTGGCTCCTCCATAATATAAGTGATGGAAGGTCAAGAAGAGCAGCTTTTATGAAATATCCTCAGCATGAATCTCTAAAATAAAGATGAAGAAGATACAGGGAACAACGTTTATCCCAGTCTATTAAGTTATTTTAATGGTCTTCCTTTCTTTAGTGCAAGTTACCATCTAATGATTAAAAAGTCTCAAGTAGATTGCTTCTTCCATTCAAGGAAATTAATTTTCCCACACAATTGGATTTTACTTCCAATTTTATACTTTCTAAAGAGCAAGGTACAAAATGGGTAGGAAAAAGATATTAAAAAAACAATTAGTGGTTGTAGCAGCGAGTGCAGGAAGGGTGAGAATGTCCTTCAAGGGCTGCTGGGGTATCCAGCTGCCACCAACCTGCTGGTGTGCTCAATAAACTTCAGTGGTGGGGCTGTCCCACCTCCACCAACTCAACTCCACTGCTCCAAGAGACACAGCATCACCCAGAACACCCCTGGGATGGTTCTTTACCTGCCCAGAAAGGTGTTGCTTGTCTCTAATTTGCCATTCCTATTGTAACACACCCAATTCAAGGAGCTTGTTTTTTCATTTTGAGACTTCAGAATTATCCAAAACAAGCACAGTTTCCCACTTCTGCTGCCCATCTGCACCTCTGCATTTCACAGGGGGGTCACTGGTGGGTCCCAGCATCCCATTCCTATTGTAACACACCCAATTCAAGGAGCTTGTTTTTTCATTTTGAGACTTCAGAATTATCCAAAACAAGCACAGTTTCCCACTTCTGCTGCCCATCTGCACCTCTGCATTTCACAGGGGGGTCACTGGTGGGTACCAGCATCTCAGCAGGGAGTTCTGGGAGACTTGGAGCTTTAGGGTCTAAGTTTACCAAATTTAAAACATGTAGAAAATTTCCGGTCAATTACCAAATTGGGTCAAATAAAATGTATGGATTTAAATACTGGCCTATCTATTATTTCCCAAACTATACCAGGGCAAAGGAGATCATCACCTTTATTTTTACATAGCACAAACCATGTGGTTTTCTTTTGGCCATAGATGAAACTAAGGACCCAATTTACAAACAGGAAGATTTGTCAGTGCCACCACCTTTGGGGTCCTGCATTCAGGGCACAGCAAACACTGCAGAATAAATACAAACCAGGGTGTGTGACACAGATTGATAACAAGAAGAATTAAATACAAACACGTGGCATTAAGGATTGACCCCTCTGGTCATAAGAGAGGATTAATCAGGTCCTGCCCCACGGGCAGCAGATCTCCACGAGGTAGATCTGTGCTGGGAACAAGCCCTGTGTGGCCCTGGGGCTTGGGAACTGCTCAGAGCCCTCGGGCAGGTGCAGGTCACTGCAAACCACACACAGGGCCCAGCCTGAGGGCAGCAGGATGACCCTGGAATGGCCAAGGGGCAGTGTCTCCACTGAGACCTTCAAGTGCCACCATCCCTGGGCAATGTCTGCTCTCATGGGG